AAACCGCCCTCATCTTGCTGAACAGCCACCCCTGAAGCTTTCTGGGCTGGAACCCACTCTATCAGGTCACCTCTGTGACCTCACCACTGACATCACAGCCTCATAAAATGGATTTTGAGATTTCTCCAAGGTACTCTGGATCCCTGGGAACTGTCTCTCTCAACCTTTAACTTTTCCATTTCCTTATCTCAATTACCCTTTTCAGAGTGAGGAGCCTTAGCTGACCCTTTCTGAGTCCAAGAGTCCTGATTCCACAAGCCCTGGTATGTGGCATGGGGAGACTCACTTGGATTGAACAACTAAGAAAGACTCCTTAATCCTCTGTGTCCCCATAAAGACTCAAATTCAGTTAATCCCCAGTCAACCTTCTTCCTGGCATTTTATGTTCCAGTCTTTTCTCTGATTCAACATTAGCTAAAAATTATTTATATTTTCAAAGTATTGACTTTTTGGTAGGTGGAAACTAAAATATGAGAAGGGAATAATCATTATTATCCTACAGAAGAACTCAATTGACTGCCTATTTATTGAGATTAGAAAAAAAAAGGAGGAAATATGATTGTTACACAGAAAATTAAATAAGAGTTCAGTTTTACCTATATCTGAGGTATCTATTTTATATACAAGTGCAAGTGTAGGGAGATAATTCAATATCATGAATCTAGAGTTCATCCACATTGACAAAGTATTTAGAATCATAAACTTTGTGTATCTAGGAAAAGGGATAGAGGTAAAAAGACTGAGTTATAGGCCCTACAATATTTAGAAGTCTGGAAGATTAAGTGATTTCAACAAAGAATATTTAGAAGAAATAAAACATTAAGTCAAAAAAGCAGAGAAAGATAAAGTGAAGAGTGTCAAAAAGTAGAGAGTAACCAAAGGTGTCAAATGATGCTGGTGAATTAGTAGAAGGAGAACTGAAAATTGATACTGGATTTGATAAAAGAAAATTAGGACCATGATGAAACAAGTTTTGGAAAAGTGTTAGGTACAGGAAATCTGATGGACTGGGTTTAAAAGCAAATAAATTTTTCAGTAAGTGGATCCACTAAAAACATTGTCAATAAGAAAAAAAAGGAAGGTGGCTATTAAGAATGTGACAATAAAGGTTTTTTTTCCTTAAGATAAGAATATTACATCATGTTTTTATTTTGATGGAGGCAATACAATGAGAAAAAAATGAAGCATGAGAAAGAAAAAATAATTTCAAGAATAAATTGTTGAGTAGATAAATGGAGAGTTTGATTTAAGAGCACGGGCAGTTTATACAATACAACAGGATGAAGAGCAGAGTGTATGAGTACAGATGCAAATTAGTTGGTCGATTTGTGATAGACACAGGTATAAGTCAGTTCTGATCACTTTTGTCTTCTTGTTGAAATGAGCAAATAATAAGATAGTGTATTGATTAAGGGCATTGGTTCCAAGTGTGGTTCCCCAGACCAGTAGCATCAGCATCAACTGAGGCTCCGATCTACTAAATCAGAACCTCTTGGAATGGAGCTCAGAAATTCATGTTTTGACACACTCTCCAAGTTATACTAATGCAGATTCTGAAGTAATATTGAAGTATCACTAACAGACCAACTAAGGCCTTTGGTAATACTAGAGGCCCCATGCATGAATTCGTGCAAGGGGCCTGGCTGGCGATCAGGGCTGATCAGGGTTGGGCTGATTGGGGCCAGCTGACCGGGGCCTGCCAGACGGGGGGAGGGATGAGAGAGGGTGGGACCATGGGAGGTTGACTGGCTGAAGGAGGTTGGCTGTGGGAGCACACTGACCATCAGGGGGGAGCTCCTGTGTTGAACGCCTGCCCCCTGGTGGTCAGTGCTTATAGCAACTGGTCGATCTGTAGTTCCGGTCGTTCAGTCATAACGGTCACTTAGGTTTTTATATAGAGAGATACTTAGATGACATTAGTCGGCACAGTTGTCTGGCTTTCCTTTGCCTACACAGAGATTAGGCAGAGTTGGATAGACCATGGTGAGTTTGGTAGGTGAGTGCTATGCCAGAATGATTATATTGACAGATATGGACTAGTTTTGAAGCTACAGAATTGGGGGCAGAAAGCAAAAGATGATGCAAGAAGGACACCTATCCCACTTCTGAGTCCATAGGGAATAAAACAAGCAACCAGCAGTGCTCAGTGGAAAGCCAGAATTCCATTACAGCAAAAAAGGTAAGGGAACATTTGAAAAGTTGTAGGTATAAGGACTTTGCTATTGCTAAATTGTAAGGTCTAAATGATAGGGTGGAAAGGTTTGGAGAACTGATGATGAATGGAATATTGAGTCAGATCAGAGACAGTCAAGTATATTGGGATGAGACTTAGAAAGATGACTGGAGAGCCTGGGCTTATTATGTAAACAGAGTCAAGCAAGGTATAAGGCATAATTGGATGAATAGAGTTGTCCTATTGGGGAGATAAAGCATCAGTTTTAGCTATAATTTCTTTCTTGAGATGTATTTTTTTGGTATGTTGTGGTGGTGGTGTAGAAATTTTTAGTATTTGGAGTGCTAGATGCCTTTGGAGCTTTATGGGCCTGTCCTTTGCTCTTGCTGATGATGTCAAAGCTGGAGGATGGTGGCCTGTGGGCAGCACAGACACCTCTGTGGATCCAGTTTTCAGTCCAGAATCAGAAAACTCTCACCACCTCCACCACTTTCACCCTAAATTCAGACACTATTATCTTTAACCTGCTTTATCACAAAAACACCTAGCAGTGGTTTTTGCTTGTTTATTGTGTTTTAGTATTGTTATTGATTTCAGAGAGGAAGGAAAAGGGAGAAAGAAACATCAATGATGAGAGGGAATCATTGATCCATTGCTCCCTGCATGCGCCACACTGGGGATTGCCCCACACTGGGGATCCAGGCCTCAATCCGGGCACATGCTATTTTTATTTTTTTTAAAATATATTTTATTGATTTTCACAGAGAGGAAAAGAGAGGGATAGAGAGTTAGAAACATCGATGAGAGAGAAACATCGATCAGCTGCCTCTTGCACACCTCCTACTGGGGATGTTCCCGCAACCAAGGTACATGCCCTTGGCCGGAATCAAACCTGGGACCTTTCAGTCTGCAGGCCAATGCTCTATCCACTGAGCCAGGACACTCCTACCTGATGGTTTTTGTTTTTATTATACAGCCTTCTCTACCTGGAACATACTTCTCCCAGGGAATTGCATGTTTAAGTCTCGATTTTTTCTGACTCCTGCTCAACTGTCACCTTTACAGAAGTTTATTGCTTTTGTTAACCATGTGGACAGAGTTGGAGCTTAGAAGAGAAAATGGACAAGAACAAAGTCCTTAACTTCTTCAGAAAAGTGGTATTATAAAAAAGGATCTCGGGTTTTTCTCTGTGTATAAATTTTGTGAGTCTAGACTTAATTGAAAATGTTTCCATAAGATTGGGGGGCATGGGTTGGGTGGAGATTTTCTCTATCCTAGAAGCAGGAGCAGGGCCAGCCAGGGAGACTCCCACTAGGGGCATTCCAAACTAAAGTTTAATGATCTACTCCTTGCAAAGTACTTTTAATTAACTTATTAATTGGTCTTTTCTACATGCTATTATAGCAGAATTCTTAGAATGATTTGTTTCAATGTTCTAGCCTGGTCTTAAATGTCTATCTTTGTGTTGACATTGATGAGAAGGGGCATTAGGGGAAGAGATGTCTGTGAACCAAGAAGTGAGAGTGAAAGTGGTTAACAGTGAAATTCCTAACAACACAAGTTTAGGCAACTAAAAAGCCAGATTCTCAGTTCCATGTAAGGAACTGAGGATGGTGATTAATTTTTATTCGGATAGCATGTGAATTTTCTATTAGTGGATAGGTTAAATGCATATCTATGTCTATGTTAATGTTTGATGTGGATGGAAATATTGTTATGTAAACATGATAATGCATATGTCTGATTGGATAAATATTTGTGCATGTATATGTATGAAGTATAGGCATGAGGCAGGGTGTGTGAACTATTCTATTGTCTGTGTAACTGTGAAGACTTCAGGGTCTGAAACATTGAACATTTCATTCACTTGCCTAGTGGGTAGGTGCACCACGCAGATAGATGCATCAAGCAAAGAGGCTGGGCCCATATGTTCTCAGTATGTTAAAGATAAGCAAAGAAACTACAGACAGTTGTCTAAGAGACTTCCTGCTATTACACTAAAGGATATTCTTTATTGAGAATTTCTTTACCTCAATCCCAATCCGCCCACAGCCCCTTCTCATCACTGGCAAAATATAAGTCCTTCCAGGGACACCAGCATAGGAGAAGTAGGGGTTGTAGGTGGTCCCAGGCAAAGGGTGTTGCAGGCTTGCCTCATGCTTATCTATCATGCACTTCCTAGAGCAGGACTCAGACCTAAGCCCCTCCCCAAATTACACTCAAAAGTGAGACTTATTCAGGAGAGTGAAACATTGATTATCCCTCCAAGACACTGTCCTCTTTTTCCCAGACACCGCACAGGTGGTTGGAGATAAGAAAGGGAACTTATACACCCCACCCTAATGACAAGCTCCCCTGATCCTCTACAGGGGATCAGAAGGCTCTCAATCTGAAATAATTCTAAACCTAACTCAGACAGTTCTACAATTGTAGAAGCTGTACTCACAGTTTTCAATACACAGAATATGACGTGTGTTTTTTTTAATCCAGCTCCTGCAATTCTAGGATTCTGGTAAAGGGTTGGGGGTAACATTTTCCAGCCCATATTTTGTTTCCCAATCAAACCCCAATAAAATCCACCTAGACCATTATTAAAGAGAACTTTAATGTGCTGATTGAGATATAAAGTATAAAGGACTAACTAGATATAATCAATGCCACCAATCATTAAGGCTAATGGCCATTTTGGGGAATGGTCCACCTGGAGGGTCAAGAGGAGGACACACTTCTACCAATGCTCTTCCCATTGGGCTTAGGATTTATTGGGTTTGACAGCTTTTGCAGGAGCTCAAGCCTCATAGGGCCTTTTGGCTGGTGGTTTTGATAGCTAATGCTTTAGTGGCAGGAAGCTGAGGTCATAATTGACCAGGTAGCCATCATTGTAGACATACAACTTGTGATCTAAGGAGCAGTAATTGATGCCCTGCAGCGTTTCCAGCATCTTATCCAGCAGGATGCTGAGATGGTGCTCCTTCCCAGTGGTAGTATCAAAAGCATAGAAGATCTCCTCTTGGCGGGTGCTCAGAGAGCGTAAGGCATAGAGCATCCCACAGGCCATGAAGGCCCCGGATAGGGCTGGCTTGTACTGGCTGGTGCGCCAGGTTTCTTCCACATCTAGGGTGCTGGGATTGAGGCGACTCACAACCAGGTTGCCCTTACTCTCTTCTGTAGCATAGAGCACCCACAACCCCTTCTCATCACTGGCAAAATCTAAGTCCTTCCAGGGCACACCAGCATAGGAGAAGCGGTTGTTGTAGGTGGCGCCAGGCAACGGGCGCCGCAGAACCAGGCTGTTGGAAGAAAGGTCCACCTTGGCTATTTCACCTGTGCCGTAGTAGTTAAAGTACATGAAGTTCTTGTACACAGTATTGCCACTGCCATCACCAAAGCCCATCTTCCGCTGCTCATAGTTCTTCAGCAGTACCAGGTCATCATAAGACTTGTGCAGTCGGTAGTAGTCAAAGTACCTAGGCCAAGCACCACACCAGAGTCATCAGATGACAGAAGGAAGCAGGGTAACAAAGTGCTATTAAAAATGGGCAGGCTGGTGTTCTAATGAATAGTGGGGGACTTTGGACTCAAACAGAATTGATTTTTAATATTTAATTTTTTACTTACAATATGCTATGAGAATGAATAACTGAAAAAACATAACAGTAATAATAACATCAACAGCAACAATGCCTAATTAAATGAGATAATGGAATGTACATGCATTATCTCATTTAATTATAACAAAGTTACTTTTGGATAGGTCTTATCCCTTCAGGCTAGGAGACTATGTCTCAGGAAGGTTAAGTAATTGGCTCCAGGTTAATCAACTCATAAATAAAATTTTTTTAAAAATATTACCTCCTTGTCAAGAGTAAGATCATGCAAATAATATAATTACTAGAGAATTCATCTCAAAGTAAGCAATCAACAAGTGATAGCTATTACTTTTTCTTCTTTATGGATAATGTCCTTTGCTTATACTTCACTGCCTCCCACCTGCTCTTGAGACACAGATGTTCTGTAATAGGACAGAGTTCTGAAGCTGGATTCAGGAAGATTTATGCCCAGAAGGTCACATTGGGAAAGTCCTTTACATCATTCCTGACTTATCAGTATCGCCACATCTTAAGATTGGGCAGTAAGTCCTGACTTACCCACAGAGATTTTGAGACAATTTAACAAGCAAAAGCATGTGAATGTGTTCTGTGTACTAGAAAATATATGTAGAAATAGGGAGTGTTATTATTAACAGAAAGCTTATCTTTCTGAGATAAGCTTCAACTACTGATTCAGCCCACATTCACCCCTCCCTGCCTTCTCGGGTGAGCCTATATCACATTTCTGTATGTACTGATTTTAAAGACCTTGTCTGTGAGTTGTGTCTGCCTTCCTTGCCAGGCTGCCAGTTTATTGAAGGGGTCATTCATCTACTCATTGATTCATTTAGCCATTCTTTCACAAATAGTTATCTGCATCTACTATGTTGCCCACACTTTTCTATGTAATCTCATGTGATATTCTCATATATTTAATTAATCTCATTTTATAGCTGGCTGAGAGGTTCTGAGATATTAATTCACAAAGTCACTTATCCTAGCCCTAGCTGGTTTGGCTCAGTGGATAGATAATTATCCACCTACAGACTAAAGAGTCCTTGATTCCAGTCAGGTTTGATTTCAGTCAAGGACACATGCCTGGGTTGCAGGTTTGATCCCCAGTAGGGGGCATACAGGAAGCAGAAAATCAATGATTCTCTCTCATCATTGATATTTCTACTTCTTCCTCTCAGTTCCTCTCTGAAATCAATAAAAATATATTTAAAAACAAAAAAAGTCAGATATGCTAAGTGGTAGTACTGAGATTCAAACTTAGATATATTAGACTCCACATGTCAAATTTGGTCAAGTTTATCCTCTGAACTGTTTCTGAGCAGAAGTTAGGATTCTAAGGCTCAGATATAGAAGAGTCTTTTTCTAAAAATATGATTAAGCTAGGAATAGAACCAGCTCTGGATTACCATGGGATTAGAAATTTCAGTGAATTTGTGAAGGAAGTTTAGGGCAGTCTGGTCCATCCTTAGCCCATGAGAGGAGCACTAGGAGTTAACCTGTCAAGCCTAGACTAAGTTTGCCCAGGGACATGTCTGAAATAGAAGAATCTGGAATGGGGCCACAAAGAGACCTGGTAGGGTAGAGTAAGGAAAATTTGGAATGAATCTGATGTGGTGGTTCCATGGTGTAATGGTTAGCACTCTGGACTCTGGAATGAATCTGGTTGCAGAAGAGAAATCATCTTGGACACACCTGCCATCTGTACGCAGAGGAGCCACCCAGTAGAGGGAAGAGGATGAGTTGGGTGCTGAGTCTCGGCCCCAGGATCCTGCCTTGTAAGAGAAGCCTCTCCAATTGAGCTGCACCACAATGGGTCTACTGACTTTCTGGAGCCCTCCATGAGCACAAGAACCTAGAAAAGAGAGCAGGCAAGGTATGACATAAGTGTGAGGCACATGACCCAGAGAGAGCAGAGTATGAAAGTGTAGTAACCATGTGTGCATTTGAGTGTATGTCCATGTGTAAGCAGATGTGATTGTGCATGAATGGAGACTAGTGTGTATGTCTGATTATAGGTATTTACACACCTATGTATCTGGCTATGCCCTTGTGTGAAAGTGTAGCAATCTCGGTCTACATCCTTTAGTGAAACACCAACCACAAAAATAAAAGACTTACTTTATATCAAGATCTTTACTGTCCACCCCTCAGTACACCATATTCAACCCTACATGCCCAACCCTGCCACTGGGGAGATAAGATCTTTGGAAATTCAGTCTGGGGCCTCACCTGGGGGCAGGATTTGGTCAGGGTTTCTGGAGGCCTCTTCTTGCGCCTTCTCCCTCTCACATTCACTTATACGGCTCTGAAGGACATCCACTTCCTGGCGGAGAGCTCGGAAGCTGCGCTGGTCAGAGTCAGCCAGAAGCTTGAGTGTGAGGCTGGCATTAGCCACCTGAGGAAGTGAGATGCCAGGGATGTGGGTCACTGAGTGTTCTTAAGCTCCCACATTTCTCAGCTCAGGGTCTTCTTCCCCAGAAAGAAGTGATTTGGGAAACTGTCAAATTTTCAGTTAGATAAGACAGGAGGCTAGGGAGGAGAGAGAGATTCTTAAATCTATCCACATACCTGGCTCTGGAGCTGGTAGAGGATGTCCCCAGCCCTTCCCTTCGCTTTAAGCTGGGCCACCAACTCCTGTGCTCCCTCCAGCTCCAGGCGCAGCAGATTGAAGGCTGGGGACTCATAGGAGACAGCAGGGGCAGTAGGATTTCTGGACTTCAGGGCGCCATTCATTTCTAGGATCTGATTGTCATTGTCTTCAATGGTGCGTGCATACTCACTGACCTGGTCATGGGTTGGGGGGATGAACAGGCAGTTCACAAACCTCAACAGCTATGGCTCTTTCCATCTATTTACATCCTACCCAGTGCCTCACAGCCTACAAAATTCTCTCATATCCCTCACCTTATTTGCTTCTATTTATAACCCTTGAGGTGAGCATTACCATTATCCCTATTTCATAGCTGAGAATGATAGCATCCTTTCACTGCAAGAAAAATAAGTCTTTCCCCTACACCACACAGATTCTCTCTTTCCTTTTCTGTTTAGAGCCACACACTCTCAGGAACGCTTTAGTGAGTGAATGAATGACCTGACTTCCAGCTTCCAGTCTGCCCCAATCCATTAACCTTCCCCAGGAGCTCCACTAGTGACCATTCAAAAAAAAACACTGCCCACACCACCCTGCAGGTGCAACATTTCTGTTTACTCATGCTTACTTACAGCATCACTTCCAAGCTCACTAACCTGGCCCACACATCTGTCCACCAATTGCCCCTATTTTAACTCTTCCACTTAGGCTGTCTCCTGCCTCCTTTGCACTAGTCATCCCACTTCCAAGCCTTTTCCTCTTCTCTATCCTCTTCCCATCGCCCAGTGAATCCATATTCACTAATTCACCTGTTAATATAGGAAGCACTCCCTATATAAGCCTCTCTGTTACTACTCCTGGGGATCCCCCAAAAGTGCCCAGTTTTCCCTTTAAACTAAGGATTTGCCTCAAAGGTAAGTGCTGTGCTTCCTTCAGTTCCTTCTTTACCACCAGAGCTCATCCTCGTGCTAGGTTCTGGAGAGGCTGCGCCTGTGCTACCTCATGTTCCAGCCCCAGCCCCAGCCCCAGCCCCAGCACTCACCCTGGACAGCTCCTGCTCATACTTGCTCAGGAGCTCTTGGGCTGTACTCTGTAGCTGTTCCAACTGTTTCAAGGTGATGACATTGTTGGGCAGGTAAACCACACAATAGCATAGGCCATCTTTATCCAAGGAGCCTGGCACACGTCTTACCAGCTGCAAAATGATGGTTACAGGTACATTAAGCATATATGTTGGAGCACACTGTACTTTTAGGCAACATGAGGCAGGAGAAGAGGCTGACCCTGCTCTGGTGTGCCTAAGAAGAAGTTCTTGACCCTGCACAAGAGGTTGTTCTTAACTGACTGGGCATTCTTCTGCCATGGGTTTGAGTGACCCTTTCCTTGACTTCTCATAACTGAAACCACAGTCTTCTCCAGCTCCTTTTGCTAGGGCCACCATCACCCTACCTCATATACTGGCTTGATCTGCAATTCCCATAACTGGAGGCTGACCTTTCCTGGCTGCTCTGTGGGATAGAGGAAAGCAACTCTGAAGAGACTTGTCAAGGGACCAGTTTAGGGGCTGCAGTTCTGGGCAGTACCCCCATTATAGAGATTTAGTAGATCCCCACAATTTTGTCTTGAAGAAGCAGGTATAAAGAATTCCAAATTGTCAAGAAAAAAAATATTAGCAGCACCATGGGGCACCAGAAACTAGATTGATATTCACCATTCACAAGAACATGACCAGGTAGAACTTGTTATCCACATTTTATAATTTAAAACCCAGAGGTTCTGAGAATTTTTACAACTATTATGCTGAGTCACATAATTAACAAGTGATCAGGCTGCAAGTTGCCCAAAAGTCTCATGCTTATTCTACATCCTGTACTTATATACTAAGGGAGCTGCAGAGCTCCCAGCTGTGTTGGGGTGGGTGTGCAATGCAGGCCAAAAGGATGAGGGTGGCAGGCATTTGCTTTGCCTCAGCTAAACAGAGTGAGGGGGAAAGGTTCTAGAAATAAAAGAGGCATAATTTTGGGTTCTTTGCCCCTTTACCTATTATCTTACTTATAAACCCACTGATTTGAGAGCCAGACTGCCTGAATCTACTACTGGCTCTGTGACATTGGGTGAATTACTTTACTCTCTGTGTTCCAGTGCCCTTGTAAGAAATGAGAATACTTATGTTTTACTTTATGTCTTAAGAAACATAAAACACCAATCAGAATGAATATATTCACCCCTATGTTCACAGCAGTTCAATTTACAATAGCTAAGATCTGGAAACAGCCCAAGTACAGCAGATGAGTACATGAAAAAGCTGTGGCACATTTACTTCATGGAATACTATGCAGCTGTAAAAAAGAAAGATCTCTTACCCTTTGAGACAGCATGAAGGGACCTGGAGAATATTATTCTGAGTGGAATAAGCCAGTCAGAGAAAGACAAATACCATATGATTTCACTCATATGTGGAATCTAATGAACAAACTGATTTGACAAACAAAAAATATCCAAAGACATAGAGGCATAGAACAGACTGACGAATTTTAGAGGGAAGGCCTGGGGGGAGGGGGAATAATTAACCAAATAACTTATATGCATATATGTATAATCCATGGATGTAGACAATAGTGTGGTGAAGACCTGGTTGGGGTGGGGTCAGGTGTGAGGTGGAGAGGGTCACTGAGGGAGAAAAGGAAGGCATCTGTAATGTTTTCAATAATAAAGATGAATTTTCTAAAAAGAACTGTAAATATATATAGAGATTAATTTGTAAAGACTCTTACTAGCCAATGGTTATTATAATTAGTTATTATAGACTCAAAGGGTGGCAGGCATCTTATTAAGACTCATATTATCCTGTTATTATTATGATCCCCTATGTTCATATCTCCACTCCCATTTTAAAGATTCCTTCCAAAGTTGTTGATTAGGCCTGTGGCACTAGCTGAGGTTTCTTTACAGAGTCTTTAAGAATTAAGATATGTGTCCCCAGCCCTTCTCTGAATAGTCCCACACACAGCGTCTATGGCCCTGGTAGTTAATCTGGCACTATCTTCAGTCTGCCACAACTCCAACCTAATAATGTAGCTTTGGTGGATGATGGAACTCAGGTCACATGCTTACAACAGCCCAGGCTGAGCTCCCTTATCTGTAGCATCCTTAGCACAGGTAAAGGGTGGCAGACTTCTGCATAAAATAAAGATTCATGAAGAGCAGTTGACAGCCCAGAATTCTTTCCACTAACTTTCACCCTTGTTTTCCCCTCTCACCCTATGCTCACCCAAGCCCAGGGATCATTGGAGCAGGCAGGGTACTCCATCCTTCTTCCATCCATCCCTCTCCGTCTTCACTCTCCCCCAGAACCTGGGGTTCTTAAAAATAATCTAAGCAATGAGGGAGGCCAGTCCAAAACACAGAACCATCTCCCTCCCTCCACCACCTGTACCTGAGGCTGTCCTTGGATAACCAGGGGCAGCATCAGTAGAGTAGTCAGAAGAGTTGGGGCTGGTTGCATCTTGCATCAGCTGCAGGATTGACTAAGACCTCTGAGTTTCCCTAAGCTTTTATCTCTGGTCCAAGTGAATAGTCTCACTAGGAGGGGGCACAGATTTCGACATCTAAACAAACTGAGGTTGGGAGAGGGTGTGGAGAAGGTATGGGGATAAGGGGTGGGAGAGAAGGGTTGCGACAGACTGATGCCTTCAGATAGATGAAATGAGTTTCTCACTACAAACAGTGTCTTTCTCATCCATCCCCAGGCTGAGATCTGCCCTTGTCCTGCTGGGCCACCTTGTCCAAACAGATTAAGGGAAACCTGATGCATTCTGTGGGGGCCTTGGAATGGGTCCCTTTCAATATGGATTATGGTATTTCCCTCAGCCTTGAGGGAGGAAATACTCTAAGAGGAAATGCAACCCTACCTGCTTCATCTTGAGGACAGAGCCATTAACTTAACCATGTGCCCTTGGATGAGGGCCAAGCTGTATATGTAGGGGGCTTGCTTCAGCAACACTGTACTGGTCTATTCTGTTATGTGCCCTGTCTCACCCCTAGAAATTTGTCTCCTCCGCGGTTATAGGCTCTTAAACATTTCTATGTCACCCCACTATTCAAACGCAGTCCCCTATCCAAACTCCTGATGCCAGCAGCCATCAGTGTCTGTCCTTCAGGAAAGTTCCCTCCTAGTTCTAACCAGCCACAGGAGCCTGTTGAATCTTCAGTCCCCTGGCCTCCCAGCTGCGCTTCCTACAGAAAAGGAAAAGTTTGGGTCCTGAGTCCTGGATAAGAACTCACAGTTCGGTGTCTCTGATGCTGCTATGCCTCTAAGTACTTCTCACACCTACTCAAATACCAAAGTGGATGTCAGATTTTTCTGTCTCCCCCTCCCCTCTATTTTTTCCATTGAGGAATTTGGTCTTTGTAGCTCCACTGTCTATATCCTTTATTACTTCCCAACTTCTCACTGCAGCCCCAACTTCAGATATTAAGAGCACTCGGCATAAAGGCCCTCACTTACTCATCCCATGCTTTAGGGTCCCTTGCCCAGCATGCAATACCTGGTAGGGAAAGGCATATGAAACCCACACTTCTAGGGAAAGGGTTAGAAGCTTAGGTGAATGTATGACTCCAGGGAGACATGCCCTGTGCTTTGCTGGGAAATAATTGATGAGATGTTATACCTAATCTTGCTTTACAGATTTGCACCCTCTGATTTCCTGCCCAAGACCAGGGATTCATTCTCCAATTCCTCTGGCCTGGTCTGGCATAAGTCTGGGGTCCAGAGGAACCACATAGATCAGGGAGATAAGAAATGAGTTGGAAACCTAAGCTGCATGAAATTGGACTCCTATCCAGATTCAGTGTCTAGGCGGGTGCTACTAGAACGTAAGGATAGGGGGAATGGAGGGAAGAATGGTGGAAGAACAGATGGAGCATGAATCATAAAAACTGGTGCTGGGGTCATCGTCCTATTATTTGGAAGCTGAAACTAGCTAGCGGTACTAGTTGGGAAAGCAGGAGAAGGCTCAGTGTCTGAGCTAAGTGGGGAAACAGCTCAAGGAGGCAGCCATGGTATTGCCCACTGTTCCCTTCCAGAACCAACAGCTCTCCCCTATTTAGGTATTAACCACTCAGGTCAGAAACCAGATAAGTTTCTAAAGCTTTGTTCTATTTTATTCACATTTCCCCAGCCCCTTCTGTCTTCATCCCTTCAGCAAACATGGAGTCCCTGCTTGGTGTCACACAATACTTTCTCTCAGCTGCCTGTGTCCTCTGACATCCCTCCCCCCAGCTTTGATGTACCTCCCCCCAGCTCTGTGCACCTGAGTCATGGCCTGGCTGGTGTGGCTCAGTGATTGAGTGCCAACCTATGAACCAGGAGATCACAGTTCAATTCCCAGTCAGGGTACATGCCCAGGTTGCAGGCTCGAACCCTTGTGTGGGCCATGCACGAGGAAGCCAATCAATGATTCTCTATCATCATTGATGTTTCTTTCTCTCTCTCTTTCTCTCTAAAATCAATAAAAAAGTATTTTTTAAAAAAACTTACTTCCTCCATTGACCAGTATAGATATCCATGTCCTGACTCAACTTGGTGGCTCTTTTTATTCTGTGTTTTTTCCATGGGAAAACTACTGGATTATGCAGAACTCGGTCTTGGAAAGTTCTGATTCCACTGAGGGTACAGCAGAGCATCCAGTTTAGGCTGCAATAGAAGCAACTGGGTTCAGTTCCGATGCCACAGTAACAGTGCAATTGGTGGTCAGGTTAAAATGGTGGAGGCAAGAGGACCTTACTTATCTGAGTTTAAGTGGGTGAAAAACAGCCTAGAAGTAGGCTTTTCATGCTCCACCTAAAGACCACAGTTATGTCCTTGAACTTCATGAGATATAGCATCTGCTATTTTAACCTGGTCCTGGGCATTGAGGAACCTGGGGCAGGTGAGCAGAGAATAGGGTCTCTGGCCCTAAGTGATGCTATCAAGCTTCTGTGTGTGCTCTAGCTTTCTCTGCGGCACTGCTTCTGGGCCTTCTCTCACATCCCCACACTTCAGCTCTTGCAGAGTAGGGTCAGGTAATAAGCCAGGTAGACTTTTCTACATGGAAGTCTTGTTGGTTTAGAAACCAGAGCTTCCTTCTGAAGGATGAGGCTTCACCGAGTCATGGGGCCACTCTCACAATGGGAGCTCTTGTGGGCTCCTTTGAAGCTTGAGAACATTCTGTCAGGACCACAGGGCAGGCCCAACCTTTACAAAAGAAGGAGGATATGTCAAACCCCTGAGAGCCTGAGAACTTGTCTCCCAAAACCACAGGGCAAGCACAACTTTACCCAGGCAGGGGCCTGGTAAGAAAGTTCTGTACTCAGGATGAGAGGCCTGAGTACACTTCCTCTTGGCAAAATTCCAGGAACAACTCCCTTGTTTCCCCCATGTTCACACCCCCACTTCTGCTCCTTCCATTTCCTCCCATAGGCTAAATGACAGGGAGGAGCAAGAATCCAGGACACACTTCCTACCTTCCAGCCTCAGCCTCTGTTCTATGTTCGGTTCTCTACAGGCGCAGCTGCACCCTTCTCATCGTCCACCTGCCTGCTTTGCTCTCCTTGCCTGCCCAGTCCCTCATCTCCAAGCTCAACAAGGCCCAGCTTCCTCTGTAGGTCAGGAGTTCAGCAAAGGACACATTGAGAGAGAAGTAAGGTAGGCTCTCTGATCTCCCTGAGCTCCCAGGCACAGAACTGTCTCTGAGCTGTACCTTGGAGTCCTGAAGCTTCTCCTTGATGGTGGTGTACTTCAAAGGTGTCACACTATCGTGTGCCCATGTCTATGATCAAGCAACTGATGTACAGAACAGATAGGGTCACATAGGGATGGGACCAGGAACAAGAGCTCCTGGATCTCAGTCCAGGACTAGTTCCTCTCCTGGAATTTTTGCCTGACTCCTCAATCGACAACAATTTTCTTCTTGACAGGAGAAGCTGCCTTTACAGCTCACACAGATTTGGCAGCTCTACTTGGCCTTGAGTTTCCACTCCCACTTCGAGGGAGCCCTCATTCTAGACTCCATTCATACTCCTTCTCCCTGGCATGAGCTTTTGGGGCAGTGGTGGTATACAGACCTACATGAACCAGTCATAGACTGTGACTTGTCTCCCACCATCTGCTATCTCCTCTCCCTGGGGTTACAAGCCAGAGTTCATCACCTCCCTCTTCTTTTCCCATTGATCCTTCTCAGGGGGCCTCTGGCTCCTCAGAGACATTCTACTCAGAATGGATCACATATTGTATCCTGCCTAAGGGACCTGAGGGACAAGGTATTCCCTCCAGGAAAGAGTAGAACATTAAAGAACATGTTAAATGCATCAGGAAGCATTATGGGGGGGGGGGGGCATTGGGGAAAAAAGGTCAAAAAATAAACTCAGAGAGGCCGGTGTGGCTCAATGGTTGAGTATCAACCTATGAACCAAGCTGTCATGGTTTGATTCCCAGTCAGGGCACATGCCACCAATCAATGATTCTCTCTCATCATTGATGTTTCTATCTCTCTGTCCCTCTCCCTTCCTCTCTGAAATCAATAAAAGTATATTTTTTTAAAAAAAGAAATAAACTCAGACAGCAGTCTGGATTTGTTATATCATTTGGGATGAATAGATTAATCACTTTGAACTTTGATTTAAACAGAATATGTGGTCCCCACCCTGATTTTGGAGGAGGAGGTAGGTGTGAGAGGGAAATGTAGTTCAAGGTTATATTTTTCTTGTTTCTGTTTATTCTCACTTAAGCACAGTGGTTAAGAACCAGAGTGGGTTCTGAAGACTGATTATCAAGGTTGAAATCCTATTTCTGCTATACATAAACTGTGTGACTTTGGACAAGAAACTCAGTTTCTCTATGCCTCAATTTCCTTATCTCTAAATTTAGGATAATAATAAATATGCCTACTTTACAGGAATATTTTAAGGATAAATAAAGTATGTAAAGCAATTCCATAGGGCACAATAATGCCTGAAACACAGGAAATGCCTAACATGTGTTAAATCGTATTGTTGTTATTATCCTTAGCACTTTGATTACTCCTGGAACCCAGTCCTTTTCTACTAAATTCTTAATTCATAATCTGATAAAAAAATATTTTATTATATCTTTAAAAAATAAGATGAGTTGGAGACTAGACTAAGGTTATTTGAAAGCAGAATGATCTTGAGTTTGAAAAAAAAATGGCTAAAAGGCAAGCTGAAAGATTCAGATTTGATCAGATTAGACCAAAGAAAAAACTTCCTTTGCCAAAGACGCAAGAAAAGTAGGTTGAGTACAACACTGTATCTAAATAAAATGGGGGATTTGGAAGCATTGTCTTCTATTCCCTGTTCCCAGTAACCAGCCTCACCAGTCCATGTTATTCTGATCCAGGAATGGTGAGTCTGAGGAAGGGAGTGGTGACACCTTAGCCCCAGTTCTCAAACTTAACAGCCACCTTAACCCTCCACTACACGGTCTTTGCACCCCAAAGTTGTTCTCCA